AAAAACTTGGCCAACGAAATAATAGCGCGACACACAACCTCGCGGCAGCAGGTAGTGAAATTCTTTTTCCCGCTCGTTCACTTTTTACAATCACTTGGAGAGCAAAGGCATCTCCAGTGCAAACAGGACCACGAGAAAAATAATATTCCAAATGATATTTCCGCCGATAAATTTCAGCTCAGCAAGTCACAAAAACACGTTGGGAAAACAGCAAAATTATACAACGGAGCTAGAGATAAGAAAGAAGGAACATGAGGTCTCTCAAAGTAACTGCGATGGCTTTTGTGCTCCAAACATATTTTGGAGATGGAAAAGGAAAACGCTTTGGGGATGAAGGAATTCTAGATGGACAAAAGACCTCAATGCATCCTAAAATAACACCAATCGTTCTTCATTCACCTGTCACCTTCAGCATGCAGTTGTTTTTGTTTCCCTTCACTCAAATAACCAATATGAACCAGGAAATTTTATTTTTGATCGAGCTCAAGAAAAAATATTATGCGCGCTTTATGCTTTATCTTTTGTTAGAACAAAAAAAATTTGAAATTATTTTGAAAATACATTTTTTTTATCTTGCAAAAAGTAAAAAAGGATAATAATTAAAATCTTTACTTTGATAAGAGATACAAAACAGCTAACAGTGGTGTTTTGCAAATTAAAACGCTTTCCTCTCCTCTCTTGAAGAGCCCTTTTTGCAAACTTTGATGAGAAAACAAAACAGCTGTTGTGGAGAGAAAGGAGTTAGATCCAGTTTCTTGTAATTATACAGTGTTGAGCCAAAAGTTTAGGCTTGTTTTATACCGAAATAATGCACAGCAGCGCGCGCGGCATCTAAACAAATAAGCTCTCTCCTTTGCGGCTTTGAAGCTATGAACATCACTAGAGCTGTGTGTGTGTGTTGTGTAAATTTTGCATCAAGCCAGAGGAGACGTGCTGCTGCGGCGAATTACGCTAAATAGCTACTGCTCTTCTCGTTAGCATTTAATTACTCGCAACTTCGCCTCCGCCGTTCTGTGTTTTGTGCATGTTTCTCGTGTGTGTTTGAAGTACAAAGCATTTCCATTCATCGCCATGAATAATTTGTGTGCCGCGTACATTATCTCAGCGCCTCTGTACTCCTGCCCGCTTTATTATTTACCAACACACGCAAAACGCATATATTGCTTATTACCCCCCTTTTAATATGAGAGCCAAGGGGGATGAAATATATAGAAAACAGAAAGAGTTGTGGTTGTGCTTTATTTTGCTATAATTTTCCTGTCTTGTATGTGATAGCCAATTAAAAATAATGAAAATTATTAATTAAGACAAAAAAATTGGTTAGTATAGAGCATTGCTTAGGTTTATTACAAATTTATAATGATATTTAAATAATTTTATATATAAAAATTTAAATTTCTTATAAAACTATTTCTATCAATTCTCTAAATTTTGAAGTTTTTATTGAGGCTCTAAAGCATGCAGCATGCTATATTAATAAAAGCATTGCTGATGGCGGAATAAAGTAATTGTATGAGTATTTGGACTATCACACCCTGCGCGAATGATTTAATGTGTTTGTTCTTCAAACAACAATTTGTGGTCAATTTTCAGGTCTATGCGCTCAGGGGCAGGAAGCCGGTCGTTTGCCTAACGACAAGCGCAAACACAAGCCAAACAATTGCTACATTCTTTTCACACGCGCATTGCACCCTGCTGATGTGCCGCTATTCAATGTCAAATTTCACGCCCAAAAGCCAATATATACATTAATAAAAATACCAGAAAATACTCTACACCTCTCATTTTCATCAAGTTTGGAATTTCCAGAACTCTCCTTTACATAAATTTGACTGCACTTTGCCTTGATTGTTTTCCTAACAATGTATTTTATTAATTTAAAACGGTTTATTAAATTTATCGGTAAATTAATATTTAGGATTTTGTTCCCTTTTGTTACAATTTAGTGCGTATTTTTACAGAGGCGAAATCGGACCCTTGGTCATCAAATATTTGACTATAGAGCGGGGTGAAAAATGCACTGGCGAGACGCTCCGGTTGCAATTTTTAGGGGTTGGCGTGTTGGGCAAACACTTGACTCTGTCAGGCCCAGGTGTGAAGCCAGGTGTCGAGGGATCTTCCATCAGAGTGAACCAAAAAGGGAGAGAAATAATAACAAATTTGTCATCCTTGTTTGCTTGCCAACCACCTTGTTTCACTGAGATGGTTTAAAAATATTTTTCATCTCGCTTAAAAAATGCGCTGGTCACTTCAAAAGGAACTCCAAAAATAAAGATAAAATTCTCAGTTTAAATCATTAAAAGAAAAATTGTACAAAGAAATCTTTACATGGATCCAGAAAACTGAACGAGAAATCCAGAAAACGAATTAAAATATCAAAAATTCAATTTTGAAATTTCTTTGAAAAGTTAAAACCTAACTGGAATACTTAAAAACGCAAACACACACTCACTTTTGACAAACTTTTTAACAGAAAAATTGTAATTTGTATAGTTCATTTCATTTTAATTTTAAAAATATTGGTGTCCCATTCAAAGTGTCTATTTGCTTTTTGGTAAAAATTGGACGTATAACAATAATAAAAAGTTCAGCAGTGGTTTAAAAAAAAGGTAAAAAATAACAAATAAACTTTGACATCCCATGCCTCACTATACGCAATTTTTTATCTTCATATACTCATCAGGGGTCGAGGAACAAAGGATTTTCTGGTTGCGCTTGGTCTTTGTAAGACTGCTGAAGTTTATTATTGTGTGTTGGCACAAACAGAATAGAGAGACGTTGTGCTGCTGATTTGAGCTGACGCAGCATCCACAGCAGATGAAGCCCTAAATTATCGGCTCTAAACATGATTGCGCTGCGCAGACCAACGTAGGCGCTTCTCTCTATATTATTAATAAAGAGACACATCAAAAGCCGCCGTGCGACATCACAAGAAAGAGACACAAATAAGCTCCTTTGCTTGTATCCAACACAAAGTTAATTAGTTTTCTTTGGCCCAAATGGCCCAATAAGCTGTCTGGCGCTCTGCTGACAAAATCAGAGGGGCACCGTCAAGGGTCGAATCCTTAAAATGCCTAAATAGCCGTAAATAGCAGGGAAAACTTAATTATAAATTATGAAAGGAATAATAAAGCTATAAATAAAATATAAATATATCGACAATTTAATGCATGTTAATTTTTATCTAATTGTCTTTTTCATGACGCAAAAGATTCAAAATCGATTATTATTATTTATTCTTCTCGGTCTGTACAAAAATTTTTACAATGAAATAAAGTAAGCATCAGGAATTCAAGGGAGATTTCAAGAATCAGGGAAAGCATAAGGTTCGCTGACTTTTTTCAATAAAAAAAAATAAATAAATAAATAAAAAAGATGCGCATAAAAATGAATTGCGATTATTATTTTATGAGCAAAAAGATCGACTTTTAGAAACGCTCTCGCATATTATAATTTGAGACTAAATTATTATTTAATTATTTTAACATACAAGAAAAATCCAAAGAACAAGTGTGCAATCTTTCCTCTACTCAAATTAAATTCTCCATAATGCCCAGCCCTCCCGATTATGAAATAAGTTTTTTTTTTTTTATTTCAGATGCAAACTTTTTACCCCGCAGATTTTGCTCTGAAAAAGAAAATCCAGTTGGATCTCCTCCGAGGGGAAATTTATTTGCGTCATTTTGACAATAGTGACCGAAATTGGCTCCAGTTTCTTCGCCAATGAATCGGCTTGACAATGAGCACCGGTGAGCAGAATCGCACCCCTGACTGAGAGTCACCATGCAGCAGAGCAGCAACCAGCACGCAAACAGCGCACCATAGAGAAGGGGTTGCTTTATTATTGATCGGGCGAGCAACCCTTTGGGCCGAGGTGGCTGTTGGTTGGCTGCGCCGCTGGATGCACGCCTGTGCTCTGTTTGCTGATGACAACCATGATATACCTAATCAGTATCACCGCGCGCCTGCATACATAAACATTTATAGCGCACACACACACACACACACACACACACACACAATCCAACATGGCTGATGATCAGAGCCTGGCTGCCGCCGCTCCAAACATGAATTTGATTTATTCATTCATCAGGGCGGTGTGTTTTGTCCGCGCCGCGAAGCGAGATCGACGCGGGCGTTTGCACATAACCGCTAATTTGTTGTCGGCCACGCTGCTTTTCGTTTATTAATATATGCACGAGAGCAACTAATTGGGAGCTGATTTGTTTCTGTTCATACATACCATCGTCTCTCTTAATTTGCAAATTATTCGTTTGTTGACAAATTTTTTATTCTGCTAATTTGAAATTTTTTAAATGATAAAAAATCTTGTTTAAAAAAGGTTGCGATTGTATTTAGTTGAGTAAAAGAGATATTATTTTCAGGATGGCATTATTGGAATTGGAAATAAAAGATTATAGTGATACGTCTCTAGAATTTAAACACAGTTAAAAAATATTTTTTAATTTGCCTTTTACCAATTAAGCGGCGTAGCATTGCCTTAATAGACTGAATCCGTTGAAAGCAAGTTAATTTGAATTGAATTAAATTTTTTATGTAAATTTATGACACCCTATTTGTAATAATTCTGTGCATATTATGTTAGTTAAATATAGCTGGCGATTAAATTGCTCGTAACTCTCGTAAGGTAACATGAGCACCAGCCGATAAGCTTTCGAGCTTGGCTGGAATTGAATCATATAAATAATAAATAATATCTCTTCCTATAAAAAAATCTATTGCTATATTGTTTTTCATATTTTTTACACAATCTACCGCAATATACTTGAAATTGTGTTAAAATATTTTAGCTCCACAAAAATTACATTTAATTGTAAAAAATGAAAATAAAATAATCAATTTTAAAAAACCTAATTATTTAATGATTCAAAATGATTAAAATGTAAAGAAGTTAAAGAAGATACTTTTTTTGTTGTAACAATTTATTTGTTTATTTCGTTATCCACCTTTCAAACATTGCAGAATATCATTTTGGGCATATTATTTAAATATGTTGGAACATTGACCAGATTTTTATACAAATTTTTACATTTATACATCCACACACATCGTTTTGGCTCCAGTTCTGCATTTAAAATTAATTAAGTCTGCAATAAAACCAAATATCGCAAAGAGTTGGAATAATACAAAAAATTAATTAAAGAGATCATGCAGCATCGGAAATGGCACGTAAAATACTAAATATAAAAATTAAGGTCTTTGGCGCGGATAGAAGAAACCTGTATGCGAGATTTTAATTTTGTTAGCAAAAAATGAGCCAATCACTCTGCACCATCGGGACTGTCCGGCGGCGAGACCTGCCCCGCCTGGACGACCTCCCTGCTCCTGCGGGCTAAGTGCTCGTAGTACCGGCTCAGCTGCTCGACGGAGGAAAAAGCAGCCGGAAAAACGGGGTGCGTGGCGAGGGGTGCGGCGAGAAAGTCGGCCCGTCGCAGAACCAGGGGTGGCGGGGAGCGCGTTGGTTCTTCGCGGCCAACGTCGATGTCCTCCTCCTCCTCCTCTTCAGCCTTGACCATCTTGGCTCGAGGGCCATCGTCCGGGGCCAAGAGACTGGCGACGTCAAACTGGCGTTTCCGCAGGACCGGCGCGCAACTGGTGGCGCCTTCGAGGTCACTGACCAGACTCGGGAACTGTCCGAAGGTCATTGGGGTAGGGGTGAGCATGGTGCCCCAGCCGGGGGGCGAACTGGGGGGCGGGGGGCTGGGCGAGTCCTCCTCGTCCACGGCCAGACCCATGTGTTTTCGGACCTTCCTCTGGGCTTTGCGACGCCTGAAGTCGCCCTTGGTGAAGTCATCGACGTTGGCGGGGTGGATGGCCCAGTAGTGACCTTTGCCGTTGGCGCTGCGTCCCGCCTTGATGAAACAGTCGTTCAGGGATAGATTGTGCCGGATGCTGTTTCGCCAGCCGGGGCCGCGCGTCCGGAAGTAGGGGTAGTTGTCCAGGATGTACTGGTAGATGTCCGAGAGGACCAACTTCTTGTCCGGCGAACTAAGGATGGCCATCGCGATCAGGCCGATGTAGCTGTGCTGCGGTTTGGGCTCTTCGGGCGAGCGGTAGAGGCGCGGATCAAACTTGCCGTACGCGTAGAGACCGGGAAACTCGTGGGCGCGCATGCCGGCGGCTGCCGCTGCGGCGACGGCGGCCTGTGGACAAGCGAAATCAGTCGGTTAGTTTATCATCATGATTTAAAATTTTCTTGATGAATACATTGCAAATAAACCTTGAACATGCCCCAATAAAATAAATAACAATTAGTTGAAAATTCATCTAAAAATGATTCGAACAAGTTCTGCTTTTAATCATACACAAATTTTATATTAAATTTTAATTTCTATTGACTTCATTTGTGAATATAACAATAATAGTAATATAAGAATGGACCAAAATATTAAGATTAAAAAAATGCATATTAATATCACATAAAGCACTCACTCTTTGCTTTCTATTAATTTACGGATATCTAATTTTAATTATTTTGCTATGCAAAAATGATGATGATGGATAAAATTTGTTTAATTTTGTTTAAGACCATTTCCTAGTACCATGCAAATGCGGAATTTAATTCAAACTTATTTGTCAAATAATACTTTAAAGTTCAATTTAGACAAAATAATTTTTTTATTAAAATTTAATTTAAAAATATTGTTTGAATATTTTATTTAAAAAATGTAAATACAGCAGTAATAAAATTTAATTATCATGAAAATTTTGTGAAAAATTTGGAGAAACTTTGCTTTTACCTGTAAAGGTCCTCCAGGGTAAGCAACAGGATGGTGCGCTGCGGCCGCAGCCGAGAGGAGCGCAGGGTGCGTATACCTGAGCCTCTCAGCCAGCGCGTAGTTGTAGAGCTGCAGTCTGTACTGCTCAAGGGTGGCCGTCGGCAGGGTCGGAGGTGGCACGGGGGCCGGTGGTGAGGCGTTGGAGGCCGAATTGGGTGGATAGGGCATGACGGCGCTGGGGGCGACCAGGCGCTGAGGCGTCGTGTCGTTGCTGCACATGCCGAAGACTGACTGAACGGCTGCGACCTGAGCCGCAGCCTCCCGGAGGCGGCCGCCCCCTCCACCGGCCCACCTCCTGCACCCCCCTGGCCGAAGAGGCAAAACATTTGGAGAAATATTTGCCCGCTGATGTGCTACTCTGCGTTTTTTTCATAGCGGGGCTCACTTACTTTCTGGAGAGGAGGGAGTTTCTCGCTCTTTGTAAATCAAGCGAAACCGCTTTCGGCGCCGTGATTGGCCGGCGCCGCTAGAGCCACGGTTTGCGTGCCGCGCACCGAGCATGCCCGGCCCCTTTTCGCCGAGCCAACCAGGCTGTTGATGGAAAACTTTGCGCCGCGGAACCCCCGTCCTGCGGCTCCTCATCCTTGTGGTTGCTCTCTCGTGTCTTTTTTTTCGGAAAACCTCGCTCTTCATCCCCTGTGTTCAAGGGGTTGAGCAATGCGGAGCTGTTTCTTTAGATGTCGTTCGTCGTTCTCTTCATAGACTTTAGACTGCGCGCGCCTATTTGTTTAGTCCTCATTACATAAGTTAAATCAATAAAGTATATCAACCACGACTTAATTTTTTTTCTGTTGTTAAATTGCTTCTATCATTCTGAATGAGTGTCGGTCCTACATTATTAATATTAAAGATAAAATTAAAAGAAAAATATTAAGGTATAATTAAATGCGCTCCTTAACTAACCTTAACCTTATTGTAAATTAAATTTTAGGAAAACCCCACATATTTTAACTCCTGCCACTATATAACTACAAAATCTCAAGTTGACACCATGGATCTTTTTTTTTTCATTACAACTCAATGACGACCAATCTATTTTGCTTCGTCTTGTATACCTCGTACATGAACAAAATTTTCCTCATATACGGATGCCGAATATTTTACTAACTGTAATTTCACTGATAATTTCTAAAAATGTAGAACATATTAATTCATTTTTTGATTTAAAAATTAAAATGATTTGTTATCAAGAGTGCAAGTAATTTATTTGAATAAAATCCCACCAGATAATGAATAATAAAATTATTAAATTATACCAACTCTAAAGTTCAGAGTGAAGTTGGCTTCATGCACAGAGAAAAAAGTGTCCTTGTATTAAAGACTGTGTATTCAATATTAATGTCAATAGACATCACTTTTCAGCTTGCTCCTCTTATGGTTTAATACAAAATCTGGTAAGCGTTAATATGAACCTCTTTTAACATTAAAATCAAATACAAATAGGCTTTAAAATCAAGGAGCAGTTGTCCTTACTTTTCCGCGCTGGCTTTACTACAAAGTACACTGTTCCTCAATTTAAGGGCAATAGTATTTGCTGAAAGTGTAGCTGGGATGCGCGCGCCTGCGCTTTTACTCATAAGTAAGGAACACTGTCCTTAAATTGAAATATACTTTCTTTCAATATTAATATCACTTTGCACTTGATGTAAGGTTCATGTGGTTTTATTGAAAAACAGTTGGTTTCAAGCTTTCAGGAGACATGTTTATTTTTCAAACGACAAACAACTAACAGCAAGCATGGCCAAAATAAGAATAAAAATTTCCATTTTTCACTCACCGCGGCAGTTAATATACACAATTTCACATCTCTAGAGGCCTTTTCTTGCAGTCCTTAAAATACAAGACGAACGAAGTTCCAGTCCAGCAGTTTTATTCTGTGTGGCAATGTTTACCTAAATTGAATAAAAAACAAAAATTAATTATTGAGAGTGTCAAAAAATTGCCAAATCTCAATTATTCACCTTTGAGCTTGATTTGCGTTGGTAAATAACTCATCTCTGCTGCCTTCAGACTGTCATGTAATTCACGCGATATTTCCTCCAAACTCAGCGTTTTAGTGCATCATGTATGTAAGGCTGCCACAGCGTGCTATAAAATAAAAGTCATTTTAATTTTTTAATAAGCGATTGTACTGCCGATATTTTCTTATGAATCAGTGGCAGCGGTGTTCTCTTACCTCAATTCGCTTCGTTTTGTAGGTTTTCTTGAAGATTTCTGTATAAATTTCGTAAAAAAGCTGCGCTCGCATCCACCGCCATTATCTGCTTTTCTCGAGAAGCAAAGAGAAACTGACCGTTGGGGTTTGGGAGAGGACGCTTCTGTCGCGATCGGTTACTGTCCTAGTATTAAGGTACACGAGTCCTTATATTAAAGTGCACTGCAGTTTTTCTATTGAATACAATTTGACAGTAGAATTAAAGCACCAACCGCATTAACAACAAGTGTAATAGTCCTTATTGTTAATGTTAATTTGTACTTGTGGTAACGCTAAGCAGGGTTCACATTGAAATACGCAGAAATAAATTTGTCATTAATATTGAATACTAATCGCTTCAAAAGTAATGCCATCGCGTTCCTTGAAGCTCAAGGAACATTAGCCCTCAATTTTTAAGGACAGTTTTTTCTCTGTGTGGTCATTTTACACACATGATCTTTTGAAAATAAGAATTTAAAACCACACGATCACACTGCCACCTGCGACAACAGCCTGAACTGCCAGTCAAATGTTTTTGTTTTTTGTTTTCAGTGAACCGAAATGTGAGCAGCCGGTCCGGAGCATTAAAATGTGTTTGATTCTTATTCATTGAAATTAAATTGTGAACAATTGTGAAGTGCAAACCTTTGGCCTAATGAGTGAACAGTTATTCGGGATTATAATTTCGTGGACTCAAGACCGAGGGCTCAAAGTCCGAAATCGCGACGCCAGATTAAAACCCTTGGAGACGACCCATGTGCATGCGAGAATGTAAGTTTTTATTCAGCTTCTTTTTATTTATATAGCGTCGTAATTTCCTGTGAGCGTGAATTAAATTTCAATCAAATTTTCCTACTGTTTATTTTATTTTTTTAATTGTTTATCCCTCTTGGGAAAGGCACCAGCGGTAGCAGACACATATAGGCCTGCTAAATCAAGGGCTGATAACTTGGTGACCTTGGGACCCACTGGGCCGTGGAGAGAGGAATTTTAAGGATGAGGAAGGAAAGTTTATTCGCATCTTAGGTTTTTTATCTTATCCCTCTCATTAATTGCCAAACACACCGGCATGAAGGACATAAATTTAAAAATATATAAATAATTTGATAAAAATTAAGATGCTTATAAGAAAATTTTTTAACATCTGTTATTAATTGCTATCATTTTTTTTTAAACAATACAAATTTATGTGTCTATTCTTTATTCACTGATAAGCAAATTAAAAAGTGAATTAAATTATTTTGTCAAGATATTTATAAATCAAGCAGGAAGCACTCAAACAACGCATGAACTCTTAATAAGTATTTCGTTAAAACATTTAAAGGGTTTGAGACTTTTTTTAAAATTCCACATTTTATTCAATGGACACGAGTATAGGACATTTTATTTGGGGGATTTAAATTTATATCAGATTTAATTTTTATGCAGTTAAATTTTGATGTGGTGCATGAATGTACACAAAAAGTATTTGAAATTGTATAAAAATTCAAATATTTATTTAAATTTTCCGTCTTTTTGTATCCTCCAAAGTGCTGACAATAAAATGAAAAGCATTCCTCTCTAGCAATTTTCAAAAGTTTTTTATTTATTTAATTAAGTTTTTATATAGATAATTTTTATTTAATAAGACTTTGTTTCAAATAAGATTTTGAATTCTTGCAAAGAACACCCATTTTTATTATGACCACGGCTGCGTGCACCCTTTATATCAAAACTGCATATGCGCATAACAATTTTTTTGTACCTTGTGGAGATTTTTTTATTGGCCGCGTTCGCTCGTTTTGTCCTCATGTTATATTATTATTGTTGCGCGTCACGAGGCCCCCTTTCTAAAATGCTATTACAAATGCTTTTATTGCAGAACTCGGCATGGCAGCCATTCATGCTGCGCTCTCTCGAATTGTCGGCCCATTATGTTTCCAACTGCTGTCTTTCTCTTGCCGCGCTGCTAAATGTTGCGGCTTTTATATGCAGCTCTCAGCAGAACACAAATCTCTCGCAATCAGATTGCGGCCAAGGGTTGTATAGACTGTTGTTCAAAACTTTGCAACTGGCATTGGGCGGATCCAAAACTAGCGCGCGACACAACACAACTTCCCATGTGCCATTTCCAAGCATGGCGCGATCAACTTATTTATATGTAAACGGCGTTTAATACAACCCACTGCTTACCCGCGTCGCTGCTATGCTGAGTTGCCCATACGCCAGCATTCAAAACTTTCTATTTGTGTATGCGAAGCACTCCCCTGAAAACACCTTTCAAAATATGCAGCGCTTCTATTCCAGATGAATACAAAAAAGATTATTCTTTGTGGGATGAGAGTTCGATGTTTTATTCTTTTAAAGCACTAAAAAATTTCTGTTCTTCAAAATTACTTGTATTTAAATTTGTATTTACATATATTTAAATTATCTTTTTTTTAAATACTCGAATTCAGCCACCATCAAAATTCATAACTCTAAGAATTATGCTTGAGAGGTAAATTTTTGGTACATTAATATAAAAAGTGTAAATAAACCTTGTAAGATTTGTGCTGAGGACTCCAAATATACCATTGAAATTTTGAAGAAGAAAAAACAAAAAGCAATAATATCGCCTCATGCTTAAATTAATATAAATAGAACAAATTTTAAAATCCCCTAAAATCTAAGAAAAAAAAATTTTGTTATTAAAAACACTTTTATATTATCATCAATGGCCCAAGCTTTTTTCAGTTATGCATATAAGATGCAATTATAATTTATAATCATTTATAAAATCTTCTATATTGCACTTTTGCTTTATTAGGCTCATTTCCACGCTAAAAGTCCACCCCCTGGCGCTCTTTGGCTCTCTTGCATCAGGGTCGTGCGCAGCACGTAAAAGTGCAGACCAATTTAAAACTATCAAGCGCCCCAGCGCAGCAAAAGGGGAGAAAATTTATCCGAGCTGCTGATGAAATAATTGTGTTGCTAACTGCCTCTGTTCTCTCTATTTGCTGCAAATGCACCATGACAAGCAATAATTTGCGCGATAACTTTTCGTTCTTCTGGGGCGGGTGCTGCCGGTCCTCCCCACATCATGAT